ATTTGGGAATCCTTGGAATTTAATTCCATTCCATTTRTAACCAAACATTGGAATGGAATTTGGTCAACGGAATTGACCATTCCAATTCCACCAKATTCCRGCGGATTCCGACGAACCAAACGCCCTCTTAGTGTTGATCACTTGTGTATCTTCATGGAGAAATGCACCATCTCGCCTACCGGCRTCCTGACACAGGTCAAAGTTAGCTCATGCATATCTTGTATTGCCCTGACATTCCTCAATAGTACCCCTCTCTCCTTCAAGCTCCCCCAAAATGTGTCCTAGGGTATGCTATYGTAGGCCTTCTTCAAGTTTATATTTGTGAGCACCATGTGCAGATCTCTACAATGTTCTTTGCATTTCTCCATAAAGCGTCTAACGAGGTAGATTGCAACAATTAACGATCTCCTTATCATGAAGCCAAAGTCTAATGAGGTGATTGCAACAACTGGCGATCTCCTTATCATGAAGCCAAATTGGTTCAGAAACCCTCATTTCAGGCCGAACCCTGGCCTCCCTGGCCTCGATCATAAGATACCACCAATGAAAATATGGAACCCACTCATAATGCGACGATCATCTAACCAAGGATGTAGCCCACATTAGGATAAGCATGTAATGTGAAGTTATTCGACTTGTGATGAACAGGACCATGAGTAGAAGTGCCTTTAAGATACCATAAAATACGTTTGACAATCACCCAATGTATATTAGTTGTGAATGAAGAAATTGTTGCTTTATTTACCGCAGAAGCAATTTCCGGTTGAGTAAGAACTAGATCCTATAGAGTACCCATAGTGCTACAATGTAGATAGAAATAAGAGTTGTTGAATGACGAGACACTTGTTTGCCGGTGTATTAGGGAATATAAACCGAAACATACTCACTTAAACTAGTGGACCTTTGTAAATCTGCAAGATATGGTGTTTGGCTTAACCATARTTTTAAAAGGCGGAATCGAGCCTCGAGGCATTTTCCCTCGACGAGGCAAGGCGTAAGCCTCGAGGTGTTCCGAGGCGTGTGCCCCRAGGCGGAAAATAAAATAAAATAAAAATGTTAACAGATTAACACATATTAATAATAGCATTATAACCTCAAAATATATTAATAGTTGTAATTGATATTAGAAGATTTTATTTTTATTRTTCATAAAAAATACATTATATACATATACAAACTAAGAGAACCGGAGAGGATGGACTCTGGACACAAAATGTAAATATAATTATATTTCATTACTAAGTCTCTTTAWAGATATTATAATTTATTAATTATATATGATAAAATATGCATACATATACTAGAAACAWAATATATATACATATTTTATATAAACCAGAAACACATACAAGTTTCTATTGCATCAGGTACAAGTCGTCATTGTAGTAAGGAGGATTTAAAGGTTAAGGAGAARTCGTGACTGAGATTTTAAAAAGAAGAATCCACCAAATATATGTTATAATATTTGGGTCTGATATTATTCTTGTATTTATATAATAAAACCTGACACCCACCAACCCAAAAACCTGACACACCCACTAACCTATGTGTTATCACATCATTGAAGAGAGGCTTACGCCTCAACCTCACTCACCGCCTCACTGCCTTACCCACCGCCTCACACATGCAAGGCGCATGCTTCATACAAGCATGGAGAGGCAACGCCTCAGGTTCATTTTTTCACCGCCTCGAGGCATAAGCCTCAAACRATTTTGAAAACCATGGGCTTAACTATAAACCCTAATCTATAAAGTCTGTTGGAACCCTAAGAAAATAACTCAATCGACCCAAGTCTAAGAGAGAACACTACATTGTAGCTTATGAATTATATCATTAATTAATGCAAGGTGAAGTCCCCATAATCATAATATCTTCAACATAAACTGGTATGTATCACCAAGAAATGGTCATAATCTATATACTATATCATAAAGCATTTGACAAAAACTCTTAAAAACCATTTTTTATATACAAAGTACTGKTTATTAATGCATATTACTTAAAATTCAAAATTACAAGTAAATAATGCATAAGTACAACTTATTAAAGCTCCATGTTTGAATTCGTATAACTAACTGCAAATAAACATGATCAGATAATGGATAAACATTTCATTTTAAATATAAAAAATCTAAAATATATTAGGATAATCACTATATTATAACAGAATATTTAATTATTATCTTTATATAGATCAAAAAATTACTTCGTTATTAAACCTAAATTAAATTATAATAGAAAAAATTGAATTAAAGAAATTACACAACAAAACAAGAACTTTTAAATAGTTAATTTGATACTAATATCGATATTTTTTTAAAAAATTTAAGATATCTTCAAATTTATATTTTATTCAAAAATAAAAACATTATCGTTTTCTCAAAATCAATAAAACGGTATTATAACATTGACAGGAGACAAAATAAAACGAAACATTAAAATCAAGATGTATCTCGCTACATTGCGCGAGTACCCTTCTAGTCTACAAAAATAGAGGTATCTGAAATGCACCGAGCATTAGCCAAACATATGAACTGCAAAAGATAATTTATCGAACCATGTTCAACAATCCTAATTTAGTCCATAAATGGACTTTTTCATAAGGCATACATGGTGAAATTTGGCTTGATCAACAAAACCTTTCATGTCATATACACGTCCTCAACGAGATCACCATTCAAGAAGGCTTTATTAATATCAACTTGCCTAATAGCTAGCCTAGAGAATATGCCACTGATAAGACGAAGCAAATAGTTCTGGATTTGAATAATGCATTGAATGTTTCAGAATTGTAAACACGGTTGTATGAGGAATTTTTTTGGCAGCAAGCCAAGCTTTATATGCAATTTATACTACCATAACATTTTTGTTTAAGCTTGCAAACCTATCTGCGCATCAGGCCACTTTGGATTCTTATTAGCTCAAGAAAAATAAGTGAGGCTTAAAATACTAACTGAAAGATGAAGTGTGAGAAGCATGATAAAAGACATGTTCAGGAAACTCTTTGGTTTTGCGAGTATGATCATGATTGTGAGTAATCATTAGATGAATGGGAGGAGGAGAGAAACTTGGAGAGAAAGAAGTTGAAGACGCAAAAACTTGTGGAAATRATATTGAGGAAACAAAAGAGGTATTTGGAGATCCTGATGTTGAGAAATGAGGCGAGTATTTCCGGTAACACCACTAGAGTAGAGCTAGTAGCTTAAGAAGTAAACAAAGCAGCCTTTAGACTCAAATGGATAAACATTCTCAAAGAAGGTGACATGCCGACTTGTATATGTTTTGGAGCTTGTTGGATCATGGCAGAGGTAGCCTTTGTTATTAGCAATGTATACAAGAAAAAGACAACGAATAATTTTAGGGGATTGTCTATTAGAACGATAGCTCCGAGAAATGGAAAAAGGTGCGAAGAAATGTATAATTAGAAGAAGAATGAAACATAAGCTAAAAAGGTGATTTGGACATAATTGGAAATGGGAAACGGTTAATGATAAACACTTATGGGATAAGCATCGTGTCAGTAWTGTTTAAAAGGACTAACTTGAGTCAACATTGTAAGTGCCATATCAAATAAGTGACATTTTCTACATTCAACAACCCCATTTTGTTGTGGTGTAAAAGAACAAGTGATCCTATAAACGATGTTGGAGTCACAAATAGAACATACAAATGAACCCCAAAAAAGTTTGGTTGATCCATCACATTGAAAATGCTTGATCTGTATGGAAAGAAGATTTTGATAATTGATAGTGTGCCTTGATGTGATGAAAATTGTCGATGGCACGGAACAAGAACGATCATCAATRAAGATGATGCCTTATTGCTACCAACTGCAAAATATAGTAGATGAATGCTCAAATTTTGAAATGAACAATTTCTAATTGCATGATACTACGCGATAAGACAAAAAAAAATAGCAATCTAGTGCTTTTAGAAGTGTTATGGGGCATAACAAGAGGAAAGTTGTATTAATGAAGCATTATTAATTTAGTATATATGAAGAAAGGACATACTTCATGCAAATGGATATCCGAGATGGTTGTGCCATGTTGGAGTAATTTATTGAGTTAAAAAGGCTAAAGTTGGGTATGAAAMGATATTCCTATTATCCGACAAAATGTGGTGCAACATTTGCCCCATCGGTCCTTCAATTGAAAGCCAATATCTGAGAAGYGAAGTAAGCATGAGAATTTAGAGAGAAAGTAGATTTATGATAGCTGTTCTAATCGTTTCAAGTACATGAGTTTACCCGTTTACATACAAAGTGCTAAGTCAGTTACATAAAATGYTATACTAACATGCAAAAGAAAAATAAAGAACATAAGCGGTATCAAACGAGACCTACACACATGGGCTTTTGAATTTCCTTTTCTACTCCTCTCCCTCTGTTCTCTTATACATACATTTCGTTGTCTGCCTCCCCCCGCTTCGCTGGGACATAACTTTTTGGGTTCCACCATAAGTTCTTCTAATTCAAATTTATCATTTTATGGACCACATCGTTTCAAGCTCCATGTCTTGGTGAACTTTATAAAATTTTACTTGCAAAATATGTTCTATAATAAAATCCAATCATCTACATTCATTTGTCATTAACTGTGAGATGGCTATTCAGAGGATAGTTCCCGAGATGTTTCTTATCTGCCAATTAGTATTTCATATGACAGAAAGAACTTGTCCAGTGGARGCTACATTGAACATGTGCATGAGGCTTCTATTGGCTGTTGTAGCACAAAGCTATCGAAASGTAAGTTTCACTTATTCACTATTGACTTTGGCTTTAAAGCGAAACAAAGATATAAATCAAATCACAATTTCCAATATTGAAGAACAAGCAGTTAATCCCATTAACAAAGAACTTCAACCCACATAAATTCCCATGCATCATTGCAACTAAAGAAGAAAAACATAGAAATGTMCATGGATCAGCAAAAATTGAAAATAAATGAACACACACACACAAGTCTGTATATATCATCACAAGATAAGAGTGAACTCACCGTCAGTAAGAAAAGGAACACTAGAGAACTGGTTAACCCTCCAAGTATAGTGAATAGTTCGGACGAAGCTAACTTCCCTCTATACATTTCTTGGAGTGAGAGAGTAACAACAAAGAGGAGAAGAGAATACAACATCGAATTCCCGGATTCGGCCATTGGCTTCAAAGCATTAAAACAAAAACAAGTACCATTAGAACTTAATGGTCAAAACTCAAGCTCATTACTTGTATAAAAATAATCATTATAAAGCTCCATCGCCTGTTAGCATCCGCAAGCTACTTAAATAAAGCACAAAAGATCAATTTAAAAAGCTCAGAATCACTTTTTAGGGTAAAACTTGTAATGCCATCCAAATCAATTAGACTGTTTGGCCCTATTTAAGGTTTTACAACACAAAACACACAAAATTGTTGAAAATAAAGCATAACGTTTAGCCTTTGACGAATTAGCGATCAAGATCCGATTTTGCGAACTCAGAGGTCTTGCAAAACTACCCCTATATGGGCATCCACCTAATTCTCAAACATAACAAGTCTGCTTGTAAAAACATATGTTTTCTTTTTGCTGTTACGAAGACCAAACAAGCAGAGTCTTCGGCATATCAACAATCCAAATGAAACGGTAATCGAATAATTTCAAAACTTAAAAACTGGTAATCTTGATAATGCTTAATGCTAACGTGTCGAATTATAATATCGCAAACAGATCAGGATTTTAGTGAATCAAACTGAGGTAGAAGATGAACAAGGACGACCGGATCATACCTTACGAAAACGCTGGATCCGATACTGATGTATGTTCAGAATCCAGACCAGTGATCGTCGCTTGAYGAACGACAATGGGAAGGTTTTACAAGCACCTACATCAACTCGTAATCCATTGGCTATAAAGCCCAGCCCAAGCTAATAGTTTTATGGGCTTAAAGCGGGTTGGTTTAATCCATGAACAATGTTGGACAACAACTACCCGCAGTTGGGCCTAGCAGTATCCGAATTATYGATAAAGTTGAATTTTTCATAGAGTAAAATGCACAAAATAACAATCTAATTTTATAAATTTTTTTATTATAGCATTGTACTTCCAGTTTTTCTTATTACAATAATATACTTTCAAACTATTTTTTATTATGACATTGTACTTTGAAAAATTTACCCATTATAGCATTGGGTAACCTTTTGATTTAAATTTACCCATTATACCAGGTTTCCATGTCATCTCATTGTCCACGTAGGCTGTCTTCATGTACTATAGTAATGTGATTTTCTTATTACATTATCGTACTTTCAAAATTATTTTATTATATCATCTACTAGTTCTTMTTAAACATTGTACTTTTAATTTTAATATTTAGATATTTTACAAGTTATTTAATAAATGTATTAAAAAAATTATAAATTATTCATTAATATACCAATATCAATAAAACTAGTAGAACACAACTTATCTCGCTAATATTTTTTAAAAAATATGTGTTTTTAAAAAAAAGAAAAYAAGAATTGTTCTTTTTTACCAAAAAAATATTATCTCGTAAAAAATGTATTATATTTGTTCAAAAACTTTTACGTGACGTATAAATATATTAAATTAATTAGATTTTTTTGAATTATTTATTAATATGACAATATTAAAAAATTGTAGATCACAATTTATTTTGTTAACATTTTAAAAAGAACTTTAAAAGATATGTACTTTTTTTAACAACATAAAATAAGAAGTGTTACTTTTTTTATAAACAAAATATATCTCGAAAATAATGTATCATAATTATTTAAAAAATATTTTACTCTAGAATATTTAATTTGAATGCAACTTAATAAGAAAAAGTCAAAAAAATGTTTTTTTAAATCATAAACAATGAAAAATAAAAATCACTAATAATATTTTGAAATAAGTTTTTATTTTTATTTTAGTTAAGTCATCAAATAATGTGTCATCCACATCATCTCATTAAAGTCACACAAGCATAAAAGTCAAGAGGTTAACCGGTTTAAAAGGTAACAGGTTACTCATTGCTATAATGGGTAGATTTTTTAAAGTACGATGTCTTAATAAAAAATAACTTGAAAGTCCATTGYTGTAATAAAGAAAAACAAAAGTAGAATGTTATAAGAAATTTTATGAAAGTAGGTTGTTATTTCATGCATTTAACCCTCTTCCGTGAGATCAATCAACATTATATACTTACAAAAAGTTGGCTAAGCACTAATCTTCTGTTAAAAAATGTTAAACGTGGTGTGTTGCTTCGGCTAATCTTGCAAGATACAAATGCATCTCTCTTGCTTTGGCAAGATGTAAGATGGATTTCACTGATACTAATAAAATCACTTGTGAAATTGGAGATTATCAATAATACACACAAAGTGATGACTAATTTCTCTTGGATGAAAGTGTTTAAGCTCTGAATGACTTGAAATCAGATAGTACTGAGTGGTTCAAATTGTTTGTTGAACTGTTGGACAAAACATTCAATTTAAACAAAATTTGTATTGCATGTTGAGGATTGCAC